CAAGTTTCTAGGTATTCTTGTTATTTTTATTTTATTTATTTATTATGTGCATATGTGGATGTGTGTGCCACAGCACATGTGGAGGAGGTCAGAGTGCAACTTTGTGGAATCAGTTCTCTTCTACTTTTTAAATACTTGTATTATTTTCATTTTATGTGTATGAGTGTATTGCCTACATGTATGTGAGTGCACCTGTGTTGTGCAGTGCCTCAGAGGTCAGAAGAGAGCTTTGCATTCCCTTGGAATTGGAGTTAAGGATGGTTCATAGCTGCCATGTGGGTGCTGGGAATTGAACCTGGGTCCTCTGCAAGAGCAGTCAATGCTCTTAACCGCTGAGCCATCTCTCCAGCCCTCTCTTCTACTTTTATATGGGTTCCAGGGGTCAAACTCAGGTCCTCAGACTTGTGTGGCAAGTACTTTACTTACTGAGCCATCTATCTCTCCAGCCCTCTAGGTATTTCTTAATGTGGTCAAGTTGACACGTCAAATTAACATCACATCATCTTTAGAATAAAACCCAAGTCCTCATTTTGACCTACAAGTCCTGCATTCTTTTTCTCTTATGACCCATCTGGTTCTATTTCCTGCTCTTCTTCATTTTCTCCACCTGACAGTTTAGCTGCCAAGCTATATCTCAAACATACTTCCACTTCAAGGAGTTTTTATTTGCTCATCTCTGTTCGGGCAGCTTCTTGTCAGAGTCCAACATGGCTTGTTCCTTCAATAATTCTGGTCTTTGCTCAGCTGTCTCCCAGTGACACTTTCTCTTACCATCATATTTAAAATTGCAACTTCTGTCCTTGGCATTCCTCATTCAACCCTTATTTGGTTTCTCCATAGCATTGATTACCATCTGATATACAATATATTTCATTTACAAAAGTTCTTCCAGCTGGGTGTGGTGGCGCACGCCTCTGATCCCAGCACTCAGGAGGCAGAGGCAGATGGATCTTTGTGAGTTCAAGGCCAGCCTGGTCTACATAGTGAGTTCCAGGACAGCTGGGGCTACAGAGAGACCCTGTCTCAAAAAAAGACAAAAAAAAAAGTTCTTCCAGCTGGGCATGGTGGTGCACGCCTTTAGTCCCAGCACTCAGGAGGCAGAGGCAGGCAGATCTCTGAGAACAAGGCCAACCTGGACTACATAGTGAGTTTCAGGCCAGTTGGGGCTGCAGGGAAACCCTATCTCAAAAATCAAACAAGAAAGCAACAACAACAAAAATTCTTCCACCCCTTTCCAACTAGAATGCCAACACAAATTTTTTGTTGTACACTGCTGTATTTCAATTCTCTCAAGCTTATATGAGAGGAGTTGTGTTGAGAAAGAAAGTCTAGGGACTGGAGAGATGACTCTGTGGTTAAGAACACTTGTTGCTCTTCCAGAGGACCAGAGTTTGATTCCTAGCACCATGTTGGGTGGTTTACAACTGCCTGTATAACCCCCCCCACACACACACAAATACACACATATACAGAAGCAAAAAAGAATAATTAAAAAGAAAGTTCAAGGCAGTGTGTTTAAATTGGGCACCAACTCTTTTTGGTAACTTAAATTCTCAATTTTCCAAACTTAGGCCAGATAGGGCCTTTGAAGAGATTAATACCCTTTTTTGTCCTATGTCTAAGAAAAAAATATCATAATTTCAGCACTTGGGAGGGAAGCGGAAATGCTTTGAGTTTGAGACCAGCCTGGGTTACTCCTTTTCTCAAAACAACATATTTGTGGGAGGAAGAGGGTTTTTTTTTTTTTTTTCCTTTGGTCTATTTGAGACCATCTCCCTGTAGCCCCAGCTGGCCTAGATTCGCTATGGAGACCAGACTGGCTTGGAACTCACAGAGATCTGCCTGCCTCTGCCTCCCAAGTGCTGAGACTAAAAGGTGTGCCTTACCATGCCCAACTAAATATAGTCATTCTTGAAGTGGCTCTCAGTCTTGTTTTTCTTTTAGCCCAGCCTGACCTGGAACTCACAGCAATCCTCCTAGGTCAGCTTCTTCCATGCTGGAATTACAAGCTTGCATCATCTGGCTTTTCCCAAATTTTGGACCCTGGCAGATATCATTTCTGTCTGTCATTGACTGGGATTGGGATCTGTTATGAAGTGCTGCCCATGCTGTGGTCTCCTGGTCTGTTGCTCTCATTTTGGGGCAGCAAGAGATCCATTTTGCAGCTGATGAGTTTCTTTGATGATGAAAAACCCTTTCATGTTTTGTCCAATCAGCAGCACAGAATGTGTTCTCAGTAGGAGGGTGTGCGGATGCTTTCAGGGCCAGTTGTGCTGCCTAGCACTTGTCTTAGTCTGTTTCGTGTTGCTGTAACAATACCAGAGACTGGATGATTTATGATGAAGAGAAATTTGTTGGCTCACAGTTCTAGAGGATGGGAAGTTCAATAACAAGGTGCAGGTATATGGCAAGGGCCTTCTTGCTATGCCATCCTGTGGTAGAAGTGCAGAAGGGCAAAAGAAAGGGTAGGAGAGAGGGCAAGAGAGACCAGATTCATTCTTTTTGAAATTTTATTTTATTTATTATTTCATTTTATGTGTATGAGTGTTATGTCTGCATGTAGGTAGGTGCACCTGTGTTGTGCAGTGTCTGAGATCAGAAAAGGGCATCAGATCCCCTGGAATTGGAGTTACCGGTGGTTGTTAACCACCATTTGGGTGCTGGGAATCAAACCTCTGTAAGAGCAGCCAGTGCTCTTAACAGCTAAGCTATCTCTCCAACCCCCGAGGTTCATCTTTTTATGAGGAACCTACTCCCAGGAAAACAGCATTTAATCCATTCATGAGAGAATATCCCACATGGCCAGATCACCTCTTAAACATTCTACTTCTTGCTACTGTAGCAATGGCCATTAATTTTTTTACACACGCTTCTTAGTGGATACTACATTCAACCCATTTAGGCATTTTAACAGTCTTGCTTCCTTTGGCTTATTAGGCAGAGAACTGGTTAAGAAAAAAGGCCTAAGACGGGGAGAGAATACAGGCAGTCTTCTGTGTTGTCCTCACATCATGCACCGTTATTTACATCTGCATTTTACTTCACATTTAGCAGCTAAGTTTAACATCAGTGTTTTCTCTTAATTCTCAGCTCTGGTTATGAACATGGTTTTTCCTGAGTTGAGCTGAAGTTAATGTGCCTTCTTTTTTTTTTTTTTGGTCTTTTTGAGACAGGGTCTCCCTGTAGCACCAGCTGTCCTGGAACTCACTATGTAGATCAGGCTGGCTTTGAACTCACAGAGATTCCGTCTGCCTCTGCCTCTGCCTCTGCCTCCTGAGTGCTGGGATCAAAGGCGTGCGCCACCACACCTGGCTAGATGTGTGCCTTCTTTTTAAAAAGAAAAAACTTTTTTTTTAATTATGTGTATGTCTATATGTTTCTGTGGGTATGTGCATGTGAGTGCAGTTGCCTAGGGAGGTCAGAGGTGTTGGATACCCCTAGAGCTGGAGTGACGATGGGTGATTGTGAGTCTCACCTGATGTGGGTGCTGGGAGCCAAACTTGGGTCCTCTGCAAGAGCAGTATGTACTGTTAACCACTCAGCTCTCTCTCCAGCCCCGGTAAACCTTAACTTACATCTTCAAGTTGTAGCTTTAATTTTCAGACAAATATTGATTTTATCCTGTTATCCTGTTAAAGTGATTTTCCAGGGCTTCACATTAGGTAGATTTGTAAAAGCTCTGAATTCTGAAATTGACCAGTGGGATTTTCCTTTTTGCCTGTCTGATGGTCCTAGTATCTTGTCCTTGGGAGCCCAGCCTTTCTCCATCTCTCATTCCAGAATCCTGGACAGACTAATTAATTGAAGAGCAGTTGCCATCAAGCCAGATGTTCACTGCCTGCCTTCAACATGTAACTTGTTTCCTATCCTGAGGTGCAACAGAAGTTAATGACCTAAAAAATTGCCCATCTATCATGTAAGCCTAGTGAAGAGAGAATTGTCCAATTTTTATGAAGTGTAAATAGTATATTTGGAGCCATGTTTTCAAATATGTGCCAGCCTATGGTTCAGAAATGGCTCTTTAAACAAGGTGGGCCAAATTGGCTGGCTAATAAAGCTTAATGACAGATTTTCCATTAATCAGAGTGGAGAATGCCCTTCATTAAGATAATTAACAGAGCATGTGTGCAGGTGGTACTTACTGCACACAAATTTCCAATTTTATTTCTTTCCCTTGAATAAATTTGGAAAGAAATCTTTGCTGTGTTCATTTTTTTTGCATTGAGATGTTCTGTTCAGTGGCAATAAATTCCGCCTTTTTTGGGCCAACAAGATGGCTCAGTGGGTAAAAGATGCTTCTTGCCTAGCCTGATGACTGGAACTTTGATTCCTGGGAACCACATGGTAGAAGAAGAGAACCAACTCCTGCAAGTTGTTTTCTGACCTCCACATATGTGCCATGGCATATGTACACTCTCCCTGACACACAAAATAAATAAAATGTAATTTTAAGTTTCTTCCTGTTTTCTTTAAAGCTGCTAGTGACTGGTATCTTATCCTCTGCAGGTATAAGGGATAGACAGGACACTTGGCTCTTTCTTCCTTCTAGCAGGCTAGGCTCTCCTTACCAGGCACCCAGGCTTTCATAGTAAAAGCAGAAGCACATCATTCTTCCAGCCCATGAACCAATATCATTAGAATTAGAAAAGACCTCAAAGATCCTACACTAACTCATTTAACATCAGAGCATTGAAGTGCAGTAAGGGAAAGTGATTTGGCCAGTGCCACACTAATGATTGAATTATCTGTGGGATACTGGGGCTAACATTGAACTGTGAGCCAAAAATGCCCAAGTTGGCATTAGTCAAGTTCTTTGCTTTTTAATATATCTCCACTTGTAAAACGGGGAGTGTCTAACCCAGATACGTTGTTTAGCCCTTTTCCTATACTATGATGCTTCCCTCTGAGCATAAGCTGAAGACTTTAGAGGAGAAGGTAATGTCCGTGGGAATAAGCAATTAATAATTAATGCTGGTTTGTTTTTTTTTTGTCTTCTGCAGGATCCTCAGTCTTCCACGATGAATCCTGTTTACAGCCCCGTGCAGCCTGGGGCTCCTTACGGCAACCCTAAGAACATGGCCTACACAGGTGAGTAGTATAAAAATGGATCATTTTTTAAAAAACCAATGAAGAGTCTTTGACAGTTTCATGCATTTAAATAATGAATTTTAGTCGTTTCACTTCCAGTGCCCTCTTTTTTTTTGTCTTTTTGAGACAGGGTCTCTCTGTAGTACCAGATGGCCTGGAACTCACTATGTAGACTAGGCTGGCCTTGAACCCAGAGATCCACCTGCTTCTGCCTCTCAAGTGCTAGGATTAAAGGCTTGTGCTATCATGCCTGGCCCAGTACCCTCCTTCATCCTCCTCTCACCCAAGAATGGATCTTATTTTAAGAGATGATAGCCAAGGGTGTTACCAAGTAACTCACTGAGTGATGCTTGGTATATTATAGTGTTCCAAAAGCCCTGTTAAAGTTTGGGAGCTGGAGAAGATCTATTTAATGTCTAGTAGTGTTGGCAATGATGTTCTTGATCATTAAGAATTGTTTAATTGTCAACAAGTGGAATGGAAAGAAGGTGACACTTACTGAGTACCTGTCATGGGCCTGGCCTGTGGTCAGCACCAAAAAAATGTAAGTAAATAAGAATAAATCATGTTTTCTTTTTCTTTGTTTTTTTGAGACAGGGTCTCTCTGTAGCCCCAGCTGTCCTGGAACTCACTGTGGAACTCAAATTCACTGTGTAGACCAGGCTGGCCTTCAACTCACAGAGATCCACCTGTCTCTGCCTCCCGAGTGCTGGGACTAAAGACGTACACCATCACACCCACCTGGCAAGAATGAATCTTTTTTCCAGGTGTAGTGATGCATCCTTTAGTCTTTTTCTTGGGAGGCAGAGGCACATAGATCTCTCTGAGTTCAAGGCTAGCCTGGTCTACATAGGATATCCCAGCCATTTGTTTTTAAATCAGTAAAACACATCTCAATAATATACATTCAGGTAACATTCTGAAATATATTGGAAGTTTGGTATGACAGGATTGTAGCTGTTAGCCCTTTCAATTTCACATGTTTTTATTTATTATGATATCTTTCTTGTCCTTACTACTTAATAATAAATGTTTCCTGTTTGAACTCTATTGTATGTTTATTCTAATATTAATTCCAGTAGCCAGGACATACATAGCTCAGGGAGCTCTTTGCTTTCTCCCTCCCCAGTTGAGGGTGTCCCAGTAGCTCAGGCTCTTTGCCAGAGACCCCTGGGCTGCTTTGGCTTGCAGAACCCCAGGAGTCCTTCAGAGCTCTGGCTTCCTGTTTGCAGCCATTCTGGCTACTTTATTCTTACTGAGTTGCTAAGCTTGAGAAGGAAGGAAATAGTGGCAACTATTTATTGATTTACACAAAAAAGATTAGGCAGCATGTGTTGCAAAGGGAACAGACTTTGTCTCTGGTTGGCCCATAGTAGAATTTGGCTGTGCATTTCGTTTGAATGGACCACTGAGTTCAGCTCTGTCAAATAATAATAGCTGGATGACTTTAGACAAATTGTTTAACTCCCCTACACAATTTATTTTTGTAAACTGGGGTAATAGTATAGATATTTAATAGATAGGATAGCTATGAGAATTAAATGAGATAATTTGTACTGTAGAGGGAGGGAGGAATTTTTTGTTTGTTTCTACTAGTCAGTGTGTATTATCAGCCTAGAATTAATTTTAATTTCTCTGCTAGAGCCTAAGACCATGCAAGTACTATAACTCACACACAAATAATATAAATGTATCCTTTAACTCAAGCCAAGCTTTCAAATTCATACTTTTTCTTTATCAAAAAGATATTTTAGCTGGGCGTGGTGGCACACGCCTTTAATCCCAGCACTTGGGAGGCAGAGGCCGGCGATCTTTGTGAGTTCAAGGACAGCCTGGTCTACATAGTGAATTCCAGGACAGCTGGGGCTACAAGGAGACCCTGTCTCAAAAAGACAAAAAACAAACAAAAATATTTTTTCCCAGTTAATTATTTATTTAATAACCACATACTTAGAAGAAGCATTTCATTACAACAGCATTGACATATTCAATAACAATTTTCTGAGCTACATCTCTTTCAAAATTGGCTGTACATTTTTAGGTTTACAATTGAATTATTACAGTTATACAATATTGTACTCAGTATAAACCCTTTAAGACATAAAATTGAATGAGGTTTTAACCTTTAAAAAAAGATCTCCATTTCATTATTAAAATACACAGCTTCATACAGAAAAATTCATTTTCAATGCAGTTGACATTAAGATGTTTGCCCATGCGTTTCTAATCACACAAAAAAATTATATCTGTTGTTTTTATTTTATGTGTATGAGTGTATTGCCTGCATGTATGTAAGTGCACCCATGTCATGCAGTGCCTGCAGAGGTCATAAGAAAGCATTGGATTTCCCCTGGAACTGGAGTTACAGATGGGTATTAGCCAGCATGTGGGTGCTGGAAACCAAACTTAGGTGGTCTGCAACAGTAGCCAGTGGTCTTAACCTCTGAGCCATCTCTCCAGCCCTGACTTCCTTTTTTAACTTAGATTTTACCATTGTATTGCTATACTTTTAGTTCTCATTTTGTGTGAATGTGTATATATATTTTAGACTGACAATAAGACTCATAAGGTCCCCACTTTTATTTTCATTTTTGCTTTTGGTTTTGTGGGACAGGGTTTCATGTAGTCCAGGCTGACTTTGAACTGACTAGTAGCCAAGGATGACCTTGAACTCTTTTTTTTTTTTTTTTGGTCTTTTTGAGACAGGGTCTCCCTGTACCCCCAGCTGTCCTAGAACTCATTATGTAGACCAGGCTGGCCTTGAACTCACAGAGATCCGCCTGCCTCTGCCTCCTGAGTGCTGGGATTAAAGATGTGCTCTACCACGTCCGGCAACCTTGAGCTCTTAATCCCCCCTCCAGTACTCAGATTACAAATGTGCACTGCTGTGCTAGAGGAGTTCCCAGTTTTGAGCAGGGACATTTGAGTTCCAACCCATATCTTTATCTCCTCCCCCTGGTGGCTATAAAAAGCAGTTTCCTTGGTTGTCAGGACCCAAACACCTTCCCTAGCCTAATAACAGGTCAGTATTTCAACTTCCTGCTTTTTTATTGCCTCTTCACTTTTTGATCCTTGGATATTTTATTTTCCTTCTTAAAATCACTACTTTGCCTAAGAATAAGAGTGTATTATCATTTATCCAGCTTTTCTAGGTTTTGAACAGTAGGAATATTTTCAAATTACCTTTTCTTGTATATGACTGGAAATGGAAGAGTCATGTGAGATGATTTATAAACAAATGCTAAATATAGTATATTAAAGTAAACATATATTATGTGTATGAGTGTTTTTCCTGTATCCATGTGTTCAATGCCTATAGAGGCTAGAAGAAAGTATCACATACCCTGGAACTGGAAATATGGACCATTGTTAGCTGCCATGTAGGTGCTGGGAACTGAACCCAGGCCCTCTGCAAGAGTAGCCAGTGCTTATAACCACCAAGCCATCTCTTCAACCCTGACTATGTTAAAACATTTTAATGTTGCTGGGTGAAAATTAAATCCCAGTATCAGAAGGCAGAGGTGGAGGCAGGCAGATCTCTGTGAGATCAAGGCCAGCCTGGTCTACATAGCAAGTTCCAGGCCAGCTGAGGCTACAGAGAGACCCTGTCTCAAAAAGACCAAAAAAAATATATTTTTTAATTGTCATTGGCAAGCAAATGCTAGTCACCAAGCATGTTACTTATAACTGTTAATTTGCTTTTTTGTTTTGTTTTGTTTTTGAGACAGGGTCTCCCTGTAGCCCCAGCTGTCCTGGAACTCACTATGTAGACCAGGCTGGCCTTGAACTCAGAGAGATCCTCCTGCCTCTGTCTCCCAAGTGCTGGGACTACAGGCGTGCGCCACCACGCCCGGCATAACTGTTAATTGTAAGTCTCTTAACACTCTTCTTTGCAAATAAAGAAATTGTGATAGTTTAATTCAGGTCAAGTAACTTAGGCAGTGATCTGTAGCTTCTAAAAGATACAGAAAATTGGGATTGGGGATTTAGCTCAAGGCCCTGGGTTCGGTCCTCAGCTCCAGAAAAAAAAAAAAAAGAATAAAAGAAAAAGATACAGAAAATTTTGAATATACATCTTTATGATTTCAGATTTTATGTTTGTTTTGTTCTAGCAAGCTGTTTTGCCTTAAAATATGTGCCCCTTCCATTTCTCCTGAGGGTAAGCTAAGAGAGGTTGTCTTCTGTGGGTTTTTTTGTTTTGTTTTATTTTTATTTTTTTTATTTTTTGACATTTATCTTTATACCTTAAATGTTAATGTTGCAGACCACAGGCATAACAGGCAGTGAACAGCTGAGAAAGCAGTGGAAAAGTGTTCCAAACCTCATTTATTTTTATTTTTTTTTGAGATGGTCTCTCTGTGGCCCTAGATATCCTGTAATTCACTATGTAGACCAGGCCAACCTCGAACTCAGTGATCTGTCCTCTGTCTTCTAAGTGCCATCAGTTCTTGCCTTCTACCTTGTTTGAAGGAGAGTTGCTTTGTTTGCCACTGCACTGTGTACACCAGGTTCGTTGGCCTGCCAGCTTCCAGGGATTCTCCTACCTCTGCCTCCCATCTTACTATAGGAGCTCTGGATTTGTACATGGGTTCTGGGGATTCAAATTCCTGTCTTTTTTTGTTTTGTTTTGTTTTTGTTTTTTTGAGACAGGGTCTCCCTGTAGCCCAAGCTGGCCTAGAACTCACTATGTAGACCAGGCTGGCCTTGAACTCACAGAGATCCACCTGCCTTTGCCTCCCAAGTGCTGGAATTAAAGGCATGTGCCATCATGACTGGCATGAGAAACTTTTAATGGGGGGGGGGAGGTTGATATAAATCATTAGTTAGTTACAGGAACTTGGTACAGAAGCTTGTGTAAGCTCATTGGTGGAGATAGTTGTTGCTAGGCAAATGTCTTTGTCTAAGTGGCTTATCTGGAACATGACAATCAAGGAATTTTTTGCAGTTAATCCTGTAACAGGCGTATATGTGGGAATTTCTTATGATAAGCCCTACTCTAG